ACAGATCATCATCATCATCATCATCCCTTAATGTCAGTAGTTATACTTGGTCCCAGCAGAACTCCTTGGGGGTAAACTGAATAGGATGAAAAGGAGAATCAAACAGGGTGAAGTTCCCTGCATGAAAGATGAGAAGCTAAGATATTGTAAAGGAGGGGTCTCAAATTCACAACCCACCAAGTCATTTTCTGTTGCCTGCAAAAAAAAAAAAACAAAACTTGAAGGTGTATGCATCTCTCAGCTGGGAAGGATCCCACATTGTTCCCAATCCATGTCAGGAGGAGTGGGGCAGTAACAAGGGAGGCAAGAACAACTAGACTGACAAAGGAAGAGAAAGGGAGGGAGTTGGCTTGTCTGTGACCCAGAACAGTAGAAGCCACCTCAGTTGTTGTAAAAGCAGCAGAGGGGTGGCTGTCTTAGCTAGGGTAGCAACTCATCAGTGTTGGTCAGAGGCTATGGATCCTCCTTGGGGCTGTAGCTGAGTACTAGGTCACTGGCAAAGATATACAAGACAGTAGCATTGGCTGTGTTCATCACAGATACTCTAGGTAACTGGCCTTGTTCCCTCACCTTCCAAGGACACCTCAGGTAGAGGGGAGACCCCTGCATAGGGGGTTGATGACAGGATCCATGAACCCCATGTGGGGTGATGTCCAAGGCCTGGTAGGTATAAGAGGGGAAAGCCTTTATCTGAAATTTGAGGGCTTCACATTGAGCAGGGTTCCTCTCTTGCTTCTGTACAGCCATCAGCTTCAATGGTCCCAGCTGCTCTCCCCACAAGAACCAGCCACAGCCATCAATGCCATCTAAGTGGCTAATATAAAATGGCAAAAATGTGGTTATGTTTCACAGTAAAGTTCTTCTATTTAATACATGTATGCTTAATACCCTTATTTTCTTCATTTTTGACTCACTAGAGATTTCAGTGATACGGCCTTTGGGCTAATGAACTAGTCTCATATAACACTCTGAGTTTGAGATTCCTGCTGAAAAGTAAAAGCAGTAATTTCTTCTGGGCCCTAAATCTGTTTTTCTTAGAAAATACAATAAGAAATAACCCAGGGTTATGGAGAGTCAGAAAATAATTGCATTTACATCTGTTCAGTCCACAGTCGAGTCAGTAACTTATGAATTGTTAAACTGTCTACTATATCACCCATGGTGTCTGGCACTTATAAATCTTAGCTGTCTTTCTAACCAAGAGGATACAGACTTCCTCCTGCAAAATTAAATACAGGCAACCATTTGAAATGTTACCAAGTTCTTAGCAATAGCTATGGCTTGTAGAACTTGAGGTACCCTCTTTTTATTATTTATTGTTTCAAGGTTGGCTTACCACGTACTCTTACATGTTATATTTGTGTATTATTGGTCTGGAACTGTAATCAGTAAACATAGCCAGCCAGTCTGTGAATGGAGAAGCCTCCACCCCAGCTGTCATTCCATGCCTGCATCCATCACATATTCTCAAAATTTCCAACGTACCACTAGCCCCAAAAGACTGGGGCCCTAGGAAGAGCTCATTGTGATTTGCTTGTTTGTGGCTTAGCATGTTATGTAAACCCAGTCAACTGTAGTTAATTCTTCTTAAGCCAAGTAACCTTTAACACATTGTGTACATAAGCTAGTACTTCCATTCAACGGAAGGTAAAAGTAAAGGCCCACCACTTAGGGTTACAAGGAACTACACTCCAAGTCTGCAATTCATTAGCCAATTGATTGGGTTGGTTTTCACTTCTTTGGAGGAGGGGATTGTAATAGAGACCCTGTTCTTAATTCTAAGCCGACACCCATTATATACAAATACTGCATCCTTTTTTTGTTTGTTAAATAATGAAACGAAACAGATAAACCATTTCATTTCATAGAAAAATCCTCCCTTTTGCTTGTGGGGAAGAGAAGATAGAAAAATGGACATGTCATCCCGTTTCGGTAGCTTTTTAGAGCTGCCAGCAAATTTTACAAGTTTGTAATCTTTTCTGTATCCCGAGGCAATTGAAATGGCACCTCAGAGATGCTATAAATGTTTCTGTGCTATAAACCTCTCAGTCCACCCCCACAGCCTTTGACTGAACAGTAGTTGTACTCTAAAACTGCAGTAGAATTTGATCAAGATCAAAAAGTACAGTTGCAAAATAAATGGATACCTGGGAGATAAAAAGAAAGGTGCATGCCATTTCATTTTCTGATTTTGAAAGGTCACCACCCAAAAGACATGCAGAGAGAGCAGAATTTGAGATGATCCATGATGGAAGATATAACCACTGATTGAGCATTTAACAGCATTTAATATTTAATAGGGGTGTTCTTTAAAAACAAAAGATGGGATTTGTAACCAGAATTATCCCATTTCAGTTCCTAGTATTGCTATTTTGTAAAAAGAATAGGTGATATTACAAAGAATTTACAGACATATCCAAGTCAGCCTGACTTGCAGTCCTGCCTTTTTTTTAAAATTCCCATTGTGATAGTTGTCTTAGTTCGGACTCAGCTGTTTTATTTATTCATTTGAATCACACTACTGTGCTTCATTGTTCGTTCAACATTTATAATAGGAGGGAAGAACTCAAGGTCATCCAGATGTTGCTGCAGTACATCTTAAGCTCCTTCAACGAGCATAGTGAGATGGGCAGTGTCTAAATTTGAAATAAAACTAATAAAATAGTGGTGACGGATACAGGACACTGAAGTTCAGTAATGTCTGGAAAGTGATCCAAGTCACTATTGCTGTTTTATATTTCTCACCAACCATCTCCTGTCTGGTAGCCTGAAGGTATATTGGGACTGTGTCTCTCAAAATTCTAAGAAAATCCCATCCGGAACATGATTCAGTAAGGCTGCAATCCTGAGTAACTGTAAAGAAATGAGCTCTCTTAAATATAAGTAAGCTTATGTCTAAGGAGCATGGTTAGAACTATTCTACTCTATGACTAGTCAGGCTTTGCAGCATAGGATTGTAGCTCACGTTAATGACACCAGGCTGGGCCATAACGTCATATCCCTGCTGGCCCACTGGCAATTATTTCATTTGTCATAATAATACATTTCTTGGGAGGGGGAAAAAGTATGGTGGGCCATACTAATTAAGTAGCCAAAGTAATTTTATTTCAGATGAGTTCATATTAAGAATCCCATTAGTGTAGCAAAAGTCTTGAATTGTAATCTATAGGAAAGTCAATTTAGCAGTTTAATTTCATTTTTCTTCCAAAGCTGTACGTCTGTATTGACATCTGAATAAAAACGCACTGAATATTTGAGCGTGCTATGTAGAATGATAATATCCAGTTTTGAAAACGGATCTTTGCTATTTTGTATTTGAAATCGGTCTGCCTTTCCCCCCATCCCATATTTTATTGTATGAATAATTGCATCTGAGCAAGGAGAAGAATGATTTCCTCCTCTGAAATCTGTCAAAAAAAGCTAATAAAGTTGAATGTAGGCAGAAGAATGTAGCGATACACGTGTTGCAATCGGAATCAAATGGTGTTCTCTAAAACACAATTCAGCATAGTGATGCAGCTTATAACTAAATTTAAATCCACAGATATTAAGAATGTCAGGAGGGGGTGGATTTGTAATCACTGAGAACTTTAAAATGTGAAGTATATAAAACTGGCTTTGTTCAGGTGGGAATAGACCAGCTCATGTAAGCTACTGATTATTTTGAACTCACCTTCCCAGAAAATGACGGAAAGTATTGGGTACCTTTTGAAATAGTCTATTGTCTGTGTAGCTCTTATACTTTAAAAAAAAAGAGTAAGCTTGCAGTCTAATTTGAAAAATTGAGGAGACCCATCACTGTATTTCAGGAAAAAATACAGTCCTGCCCAAAGGAAAAGTGGGATAGAAATATGGTATAATAATATAGGACATATTTTGACATGCTTTGCATCATTCCATGCCCGTGGTGACTCTCATCTGTCCCCATCATATGTGGCTGCAGCCCTTATCACTTGATGTTATAGTCACCAAGGGACAACTGCAGATGTCTGAAACCAGCCTGTACTTTGGGGGCCCCTCTGTGAGGATTATCCAGAAGGTTGTAATCAGACTGTGTTTCTTTCAAATGGTTTTAGATTGGAGACAGAGTCATGGCTTTTACCAACTACAACGCCTGGGCTGAAGTTGTATGCACACCTCTTGACTTTGTGTACAAAATTCCTGATGATATGAGCTTCACTGAAGCAGCTGCTTTTCCTATGAACTTTGTAACTGCGTATATGATGCTCTTTGAAGTTGCCAACTTGCGAGAAGGCATGTCAGTGCTGGTTCATTCTGCAGGAGGTGGAGTGGTAAGTTGATTCAGTTTCACTTCTGTCCTATAAAGAATTATAAGTTTGGATGCCACTGTTAATAATTGCTATTGATGTGGACTCTGCAGCCCCATCTTAATCTTCTTATAAATCAAGAGGGTAAGATGTCAGAAACACATAAAAGCAAGTATATGTAATAAGCTAAATAACTGCTTTGTCAGGTTCCTTGGCACCTGCCTCAACCGAGAATTCTTCCAAGTACAACATTCACAAAATCTTCTTTAACAAGATTTATTGAGATGAAGAGAGAGCGTTACAAGAATTTCAGCAACTGAATTATTTCCACTTTAGAATCAATGTATCCCCAAAACATTAGGGCAGAGAGTCTCTTAGTTTATTTCTAACAGCTTCTCTGTGAACCAGCAAGGAGGTTTTTTCACTGATAATGGAGATACTTAAAGGTAGATTCAATCTCTTGAATCCTTGTCATTCTGTGAACCAACGATTACATGTTCTTACTAGTATCAAAAGCTGTGTTGTGACTGTCTCTTAAAAAGGCACGGTTAAACTTAAAATGTACATATTGTTTTATGAAAGACATTGGCTGCACTTGATGTTTAAAGCCCTGATGCCTCTCTTAAGTGACAGACAAGTTACATCTAGCTGTCATTTGTTGCTGAACTATAACTCCATGCTGACTGTTGTGCTGGGAGATTGTAGTTCAGCAAATATCTGAAGGGGCACCAATTCCATGGTTCAATCTGAGTAATCATTTGTCATAGTGCAGTTGATATTGCTGAATAAGCTACACTAATGGAGGTCCAAATACATAGAGCTGACCTGGGATTTAGTATCTAGACCTGTGGTTCCCAAGGTTGCTGAAACTTGTACTTTAGCAATATATGGAATGGTAGGAGTTGCTACCATTGGTGCAGACCAGTTAGAGTCAGAAGTGCATGGTTTTATAGGATGTTCTGTAAATGGTGAACCTTGCACTGTAAGTTAGCATGTTCACTGATCAGAAAATAATATTAATCTCTCTCTTTCCTGGATGGTGCTTGGTTCCCCAGCATCAAAGCTTGTTCTTGTTGGTTAGAAGAAACCCTTAGGAAAACAGGAGACAGTGGAAACCATCTCTTCTGCCCCCAAAAAGGTGTCTTCAAGGAGTTTGCATCATATAAATAGAAGAAAAAAAAGTGCAAGAATTTCGACCTCAACTTCACTATAAATAGGGCTTGCATTTAAAACCCAGCAGTTACCGGAATTCAGTCTGCTTATCATATTTTGTGTACTTTAATGCCATGTATGCTGTTTCAAGCTCAGCTTGTTGGAAGAAGTCTGGCACCTTGGCGAAGAAAGTCTATCATGATTTCCATTTCAGAATAAATAACCTGTATAATCTGGGCAAGAATATTTATTGGCTTGTGAATTCTGGCTTTCATTTTGTGGCTATTGGTGCATCACCTCTGAAAATGATTGAGAGATCGGGAAGTTAAAATTGAGAAAGGGAAACAGGAGCTTCCAAAAGTGAAAGTATCTGGGCTTACCATGTAGAAGTAGAGATACTCAGTTGGGTAGTTTTGGAATAATCTAACAGGATTTTATGGGGGAAACTTTTTTTTTTTTTTGAAGTAAGGATATTCAATGTCATGTCACATTCCCTTGAAAGATTTGGAGGGCCTTTGGAAGGGAAAGATGCAAGCTTTACTTTGGGCCAAAATCTTGATTGTGCAAGCTACAAATGGCCTCACAAAGATAATAAAATAACTTCAGTAGCTCTCTTTACCTTTATATTCTTGTTCATGATGAATGATTACTCCTGAGTCATTGCAATAACTGCCTGGAAAGTATAATCTCATTATATTGTAACTCAGTATAAACAAAGATTTTTATTTTTGTTGAATACTTTCTTCCTCACCTTCCTCCCTCCCCCCCCCAAAAAAATCCCACTCAATGCAGACCACTCAGATAATTTGATGCTACAAAAAAATTGAGTGCAAAAGAACTTTGGAAGGAGTTTGGGAACTCCACAGGAGCCTTACTATTTATCTGGTTTGCACATAACACTACACAATAATGTGGTTAATAACAAACAGTTGCAAGAAGGTTAACCTAGAAACTCCCACACTAGCTCATGATAGGAAAAATATCTACAGCAGTAGAAACCAAAACAATTATTGCCTATAAAGTTGGTTTATAAAAATGCAAGGGAGTAGGCATTGGACATGGCCCCAAGAGAGATATTTGTAGGCTTTTGTGGATAACATATTCCAAGGCTTTAATGTCTTACCGAAGGAGGACAGCCAAAGTACCCCATTTATTTCTAAATGTCATGAACATTCTTGAGCCATCCAGTGGAACAATGGAGGTCCTGTAGCACAAGAATCTTGGACTTAGTTTTGCATTAATGAAAAATTCCATGTCATTGTTTCAAGTACTCCAAACATTCCAGGAGCACATGATATCTTGCAATATCAAAAGTGTGGGAAGTCTACGTTTTGTATAGTCTCGGGTGAATTGATTTATGGAGAGCTGTCCACTGGCTGCTTTGCAGGAAAAGCTGACCAGGAGAAGGATGAAGGGCAGGGCCATTCCCTTTGAGAAGAATGCAGCATCTTCAGCAGGGGGCTTTTTTGATTGTTCACTGGACTTGAAAGCATTGGAGGAATGGGCCTAGATTTCAAAGAGTTAGAAGAAGAAAAGTTAAAAAGCTGAATTTAAAAAAAAGGGGGGGAGGGGAGGGATGGGAAGGAAGGACAGAGATGTGGGAGAGAGGAACCTGCAGCCAGTTATTGGTGTGTGTGCACAAGTGTGCAAGTGCAACTGCTGCTGAAGAACTCCGTAATAGAGGACATGGGGAGAGAAAGGCTTTGGCCTCCAGACAGAAGATTCCAGAAGGACCTGGCACTGGCACACCCAGCCCAGTCTGGGAGAAGCAGCAGCAACAGCTCAGATGGGTAGTACTAGGAGATGCCCAAGTGGGATAAGTTCCCTGTAGGTTGCAGAGCGGCAGAAAGCTTAGTAGTAATCAGTTGTGTCCCTGGAGAGGGACCAAGCCAGGAGAGAGAGAGAGAGGGAGGGAAGGAGGGAGGGAGGGATTGGTCCTTCCTTCCATATTTGGAGTGCCAAGTAGCTAGCGGAAGACTTAGCGGAAGAGCTTCAGGAGTGGTGCGGAAGGCTGAGCTGACTGCAGTGCAACAGCCAACCATATCAGTAGAAACCAGCAACACCAGCAGCTATTCCAGTAAAAGAGAGAAAGAGTAGCAGAGCTCAGCAGGCACAATGGGGGAAAGAAGGCTGGTAGAAAGAAGCAATAGGCCCAAGTGGATATGGTGAGAGAGTCCTTGTAAGGCCTGGAGAAGTTGGGCAGGAGGAGGAGGCAGGAAGTATTGATATGGTTGCAACCAGTGTCTGCCACATCATCAACAGATGCAAGAAAGAAAGAGCAAGTTGGTCACCTAGCAGAGTGATCATGGCTGATTTGGTCCCCAAACCAGGCTTGAACGCCAGACTAAAAAGAGCCAAGGTAATCAGTGACTTCTAAGAATTTCCACAACTGCATAGCCCCTCAAGTACCTTGCCTGAAAGGGATATTTGTGACTGGATGGTGGTTATACAAAACTTCTGAGTTTAGAGAATCTTTCTTCAGAAGAAATACTGGCATATTTTAATGATGCAAGTTAATTAAAAAAAATGACTAAAACAATGAAAACAGATAGTGAGTAAAAGATGAAAATGACCCTTAGCTGAAAAAAAAAAATAGCCTAGCTCGCATATTGTGAAAACACCCATAGAAAACTAAAAGCCAAAGCTTAACAAGACAAGAGGAGGTGGGATGTTATGCTGGTTCAATGTTGACATACAAGCACGACCAGAATATACTCAGGATGTGAGTCCTGACAACAAAAACATGTGGGCATTGATCATGAGGGCTTTGCATCTTAAGTGTCAAGCCAACAGGCCGCCAAGTAGCAAAGGAAAACAAGGCATTTACCAATCCCTAAATCAAAACACCCCAAGAAGAATAGATAAGACGTAAGTAAAGGAACTAAATGCCAAACCTTTAGCAAGAGAACAGAAGGCCAAGAACAATGGAGGAACAGAGTTATAGAGGTATCTAACAGAAATTGCAGGGGACTAAGTAAGCTAAAAATAGGAGCAAACTAGAAAACAGGGTCATGGAGCTGTATCAAGGTGTTAGGGTCACCAGGAGATTGGATAAATATAGATTCATAAAGAGAAGTCAAAGTCAAGGCAAACAAATACAATCATGCTGATCAGAAGATGGATCATGAACTTGGTCCCCAAGGCCACTGGTTTCTTATATCAGTACAAACACTGAATGAAGACATTTGATATCCTTAGATTAGAGCATATATTTCTCTTTTTAATGTGCATGTTTAAAGCGCTTCCCTTCCTTCCTTTTGAACTGTCTAGTGTTAATTTAAGATCATTACATTTTCGCTGCATTTTGTCATCTTCATTGAGGAGCTGGTGTACTGGTTCTTTTCTTTTTTCTTTTAAAGAGAAAAAAAGAAGCTTTTTTTTAAATTCTTGGCATCTCAGCTCATTCTGAGCTTTAGCCTTTCTAATGCTATTTCTGTAATTCCAAAACATGTTTGCACATTCTTCCTTGGTAACTTGTCCTTCTTTTTATCTCCTATGGGTGCCCATTTTTGTTGTCAGATCTTCACTAAGCTTTCTGCATGGCAACACTGAATTCTTCTGTTTTTTTTTCCTTGTCAGAATTGGTTGCAATTGTGCTTCTAGCATCTCCTTTTCTGGAACCCCCAGCCACTGTGTGCCACTTTTCCCATTAGCTTGTTCTGTCATGGAACCTTATTTATGTGTTTATTAAAATTCACTTTTTTGAAATCCAAGAAATAAGATTCAGCTACACTGAAGTTTTCCCCCTAATATCAAGCACTCTAATATTATATGGTCACTTTCCCTGAATTTTCACTTCATCAACTAAGTCTTCTCTATTCTTTAGGCACAAGTCAAGGATAGCTGATTCTCCTGTACTTTGCTTCACCCTCTGAAAGGAGAAGTCTCTAAAACTATTGCCTTGAATGAAGTAGCTGAGGGCTTAGTCAGGATCCATGTCTGGATGCCCAATGAATATGTGAGAAATCAATTCAGTTACTGGAAATGACTATTATATTGAACTGTTTTCTTTAAAAAATCTAAAACAAAGACTTCAAGGCAGTTATTGACATTTTTGAAGCAATACACCACTAACTTTATGTTTTAAAAAAGAAAATGTGATTGAAAGTCCCCCAAAACAGTAGTAGAAAAGGCTCAAATCGATGCCACCAATAAACTTAGGATTCTATGAAATGTTAGAATAGATCAAAAGATTTCTTCCCTCTATCTCAGTGCAGTCATTGCACCTGAGATATTTTTTTGGGTGTGTGTGTGGGGAGGTGTGCTACCCTTTTAGCCTTCCAAAAACTGTGAAGACCTGGCTCTTCCCCCAAGCAATGGGCTTGGTGGGGATGAGTCAAGGGGTCCACAGTATGGGTGATCTGGCACCTGGTGGGAGGGGTCTGATTTGTTTTAAAATATTGTTTTTATGGGTTGTTGTGAGCTGCCTAAGATCACTGTGTGAGATAGATGGCCATATCAGTTCTTTAAATAAATAAAGTTAAATAAATAAAAGGTATATATGTGGCCCAGAGGAGTCTTCAAAGATGAGGGATTGGAAGACGTAGTTGACTGCATCTTATCCATGATTATGGTACTCAATATGATTGTGATACTGGAAAATTAGGACCTACCTCTCTGGAATGGCTAACCATTGGTTCTTCTTCATCTCTGTTGACAAGATTTCAAAAGATCTTGGCTAAAACCTAAAACCTGAAAATCTTTCTTCCACTTGGCATTTTCTAATGTTGGATCACATGATCATCATCCCTAGCTAGCACTGCCAATAGTTAGGGGTCTGATCATCCTTTCTTCATCCCAGCAACCATCTGAAGATCTGATTTCTGTTGGATTGGGGAGCCTCCTGAATAATGTGGAAATAGATATGGGGAGAAAGGGGGAAATTAGTTCATCTGACTTTTATTTATTTCCATTTCACCCAGCAACCAGTTGCTCCCTTCCTATGAGAAGAGAAACCTTCCTTCCAGGAATGTCATTTGGATCCAAGTACTGTCCATGTCTTGCCCAGTAAGCAATATTAATATTGCTTGCCCAGTAAGCAATATTGGGAAATTAATCAACAGGGGGCTATTATGAGTGTGTGCCTTTTACAGGGGTTCTGTCTAAATCAAAGCATTTCCATTTTTCATTACTAAGAAACCTGTTCTGTCAGATTTCCCCATCACTCTGCAAATTATGTCTCTCTATATATACTCTCTGTGTGTGGGTGTGTATATATAAATGTAAGTTTTAATGCAAAACTCTACTTACTATAAATATTTTAAACATGGAAGCCCTTTTCTGTGTGTGAAACACTCCTGAATGCTCCTGTTTTTGTATGTGGTTATTGAGCCAAATGCTGCATTGCCAGATCTCCAGGGAGTTACTAAGGAGAAGCTTAGTAATTCTGCTCTGCTTGTAAGTCTAGGAAATATCTGAATTAGGACACTTTGCTTTAAAACTGCAGACCAGCTGAAATTTTCCTACATCTCTCCTTTTTCAAGTATGAATCTGAAAGTTCCCCTTGCAAATGCTCAATTCACATCAAGGGTGGTTTGTTTTAATCAAATAATAAACTGCTCATTTAAAAATTATCTGTCCCAATTTAACAGTTGCCTAACTTTTGAAGGCAGTAAGAGAAAGGAATCATTCTTTATTCCAGTTGAAGAACGACTTCCTGGTATCTTTACGTAGGTGGGAAACATTTAAAATACAACGGAAATATCATAAAATATAATAGCCCATTTACCAAAAAGACAGAGATTTCTTTTGGATTCCGCAAACCCAAAGTGTGGCTATACAAAGCCAAGTGTGGTAAGTGTTATCAGGGAGCTTGTCAGCTAAAGGAGGGAAACATAACAAGTTTCTGATAACATACATTATGAGAACATGTTTGTTCTTCATAACAAACATCTGATCACCTAAGAAGATGGGGTAGTAGAGGTGAAGCAAATTCCATACAAAGATCCTTATTAAAAGAGTGTGGTCAATGGTTTCAGCTACTACTGATCTACTGGGGGAAACAGGTTCATTATATTGTCACATTGCTGAACTTCCCTGTATCAGAGCCGGTAGGCTTTAAAGAATATTCTCATATTTGAGCAAAGGTCTTAAAATAATAGGCTGGTTGGATGTACAGAAGGTTTGCTCCATTTTGATAATTTAAAAATGTACTCACTATGATTCCACCTCTGTGATGCATTGAAAAAGGAGCTCTCCAGCATCTCATAGGGCATAGATGGCTGAAGCACTTGTGAGAGACAAGTAACAGTGTTTTTCTATGAACAATCTTTTTCTTTGTTGATTGGAAATCAGCAGCAAACAGAAGGAGCTAGACCTGAATGGTTAACATTTTAATTTCTGCTAGTAATTGAGTTTGGAAAGACATACTCTTCCCTCAATCCCCAGGAGTCCCATTTGCACTGAAGTACAGCATTTGGCACATATTTTATGCCTGTAGCAGAGCCTTTGAAAGTTTGGATTGTACATGCTCTTATGAATTAAATTGGGCTTGGAATCTGGGTTCAGTTGAGGTCCATAACAGAGTTGAGCCAAGTTTTTGACCACAGATAGCTAAGTGCTTCTTGGCTAAGATTTGAAGCATGAGAAATGATTATGCCACCCTAATGATTCTCTTCATTAAAATAAAAGTTCATATCTACAATCACATCACATTATGAGAAGCTTTATATTCTGGTAAATATATGGATATGTGTTAGCCATAACTTGGAATTGATTTACAATTTCTTTATTTTTGTTTTTGTTCTGTTTTGTTTTGTTTTCAATTCCCCAGTCTAGACAGTAGCCCCTAGACTTCCTGGAAGTTCCCCATCCAAATCTCAGTCTGATCGGACTCTGCTTAGCTTTCTCAAGATCAGCTGAAACCAATATCTGCAGTCACCTGCTGTGGCAAATCATACAACTACAAACAGCACATCTTACAAGTGGTTATATGTGGCCCAATGGCAATATGAGGTTCTTTGATCCAACCGCGTCTTAGAAGCAACTGGGTTGTCTTAATTCTGTCCCTACCCTTATTCTAATCCTACATTACAGAATGGGGTACTTTTAATTATTTTATTATATATTACAACAATGTGCTGCTTTTCAGAATTTCTCTTATCTAATGCAATTTACAAATCACTTTGAAAAAAAATGTTCAAAAATTGCAAGAAGCAATGCTAACATTATATATAATTTTGAGCAGGATATAAATTCCATAAATAAAGGACGTGTTTTCAGGTCAGTTGTTGGCAGAGAGCCCTATGAAGGAGCAGGGATGGGGCAGACTGAGTCAATACCTGTTGTTACCTTCATCTGCCTTCTTCTATGTCCTCAAGTCTTCTCTGGTTACAGAAGATCAGTAATGAATGGTACACATAATTAGGTGACACACTTGATATATCCATGCAGCTAATGCACAAATGCATTTGTAGGGACAAGCTGTTGCTCAACTCTGCTCAACGGTTCCCAACGTTACTGTCTTTGGAACGGCATCTTCCTTCAAGCATGAGGCCATCAAAGATTCTGTGACCTACCTGTTTGACCGAAACGTGGACTATGTCCAAGAAGTTAAAAAGTAAGTGAGTTTGTATTTTACTTGATGAGGAAATCACTAATGAGAACTTGTAAGAAGCTAATGGAGGTGGGGGTTTTCGAATGTTAGCCACTGCATTCTGTTTTGATTTTTTTTTTAGCTGACAGACCACATTCTGCAAGAACGGAATGTGCTCAGTTTTCAGTGGGCTGTTTTAGGGTCTTCCTGTCTTTAGCAGCCTCCTCATTGTCCTTCTGAAAGATGGGTTTCCCTTTTCTCCAAACCTGCTGATACTTCTGCTTTCTGTGGTTGATACCAGTTTGGTTGTGGAGCCTGAAATTGGAAATAGAAGGATTTATGAGATGTTTGATGCCATAGCAAAGGGATCTCAATAGCATGGGTAAATATGCACATTGTTCTCATAACAGAACCCCCACTGTGTAGATCACACAGTTGCAAAATAATTCCTTCTCTTTAGAAGCATCCAGATTATAGGGTTTAGCATCCCAAGAGGTCCAACCATCTTCTTTACTTGGTACAGAAAGCAGGACAAATCGCCTGGGTGTTCTGTCTGTTTTACCTGTATCTCTTGATCCATAATTTTCTCCCTATAAAGATACTTTCTCCAGTTTCAGAATTTTGTTCCACTGATGCTGCTGAATCCTGTAATTCCATCATTCTTTTAAAAATACAGATTGCACTATGAAACATGTTGACTAGCATTAAGATTCCCTTTTTGGAAGTGCAGAATAAAAATGAGTTTTATAAACAATGTGCTGTAGCTTAATATGGCCAGGTTCCATGCTAAGCCTAGCAAACTATTTGCATGTAATATAATTCCATAACTTTCTCTATCATCAGGTGCCCATTGCTCTTCCATTTTCTGTAAACAGGAAAAAAAATGTATAATCTAGGCCACTAAGTTTTAACCTATGTCCTCATAACTGCTATTAACCAATTTCAGACAATAATTGTCATAAGATAAAAGTGGGTCTCGGGAGTTGGAAATTATTTGGTGCACCTTATGCCTTTCAGACTCCCTAGAGTACAATTATCCATAATGACTGCACCAGTGATTTTCATAATTATTTAATTAAAGTAAGCTATTGTAACAAACATTTCTTTTTAACAACTGCCATAGACAGTGATACATACTGTATATCCCACATAATTGTAGAGAATGGTCAAAACCAGGTTTTCACAGGTTTGCTTAATTTAAAGCAGAAACAGGCAACCTGGTGCCTTCCACATGCTTTGGATTCATTGTCCATCAACTTCATCCATCAGGACTAATTGCAAGAGATTTTAGTCCAAATTCCTGCCAAGCACAAAGTTACAGACTTAAAGAACTGCAACATGGAATTTGCTTCTTAAGGATAGACAGAGGAGTTGATTTTACATTGTACGTTTGTTTCTAATCTTTCTGTACATAAGTGGCTCTAAGGAAGCTCACGGTGAAACTCAACATAATAATAATGTGAATTCACTTTCTCACTGAATGCCTTTCAGGCATAAATATCAGATCTACCTGGTATTCTCTTCCATGCAGATGGATCCTCCAAAACTTCTGCTGGTTACAGCCTATTTTCCTGGGACCCTTGGCTTAATTTTTAAGGATGCCTACAAAGATGTTCAGACTTTCTGTAAAAGCTGTTCCTTCCTTACATTAGGCCAAGGAAGAGAAAAAGCAGAGGAAAAAAGAGAGTTTAGAATGAGTAAAAGGAGAGTATCAGAAGCAGAGAATGAGTTTTGTTTTTTCTTCACCTCTAAATATAGAGAAGTATCTTCTCTGTTTTCTAAATACTGTAGGTCTTGACATGGCTGTATTTTCATTTTAATTCATTGCACTAAAGAAAATTGAATAAACGTAGGTGACTTGTAGTTTCTTTCCAATCTATTGCCCTATAAAGGTATTGGAAGGAATTTTGGATCATGAGGACAAGTAAAATATCACTGTGCACAAGGGGGCAGTATCCGCAGCAGTAAAATTTCGCCTTTGAATTTAGGACAGTTCCTGGTGGCTTCATAGATAAATTTCTGTAGTTTTCTAGGCAACAGTACAGAAGTAGGTTGTCTCTGCTTTCTTCTAACCCTTAAAAAGAACTCGCCTACAACTCCTTGCTTTTGAGATTTCCCATTCAAGTACTAACCAGATTTAACATTGCACATCTTTTTCAGTATCAGCTGAGGTTGGCCATGTAGTCCTACCGGATGGACTGCTGTTCTTATCTCAGCAGATAGCCATGGATTACCCCAAACCAAATATTTTAATAGTTGACCTTTGTGCATTATACTTTACCTTTTTCATCTGGTAGAAGGTCCTTGTAGAGAGCATTGGGAATGGCCTTGAAGGAGAGGAGGAAGAGCCACTACCAAGGCAATGGACAGATAAGCAGGGCTTGAGCCCATTCCAAGAAACTAATTTGAGAAAACACCTCAGACAAGCCCCTCCCGTAGTTCACATGAAGATGGGGGGGGGGCACATTCAGACTTGCAAGGTTCCGTTATTATACCTGTTACAATAAAAGACCTATATGGCATTGGTTTTTTTAGTGTGGTCTACCTTGTTGGGCTGACAGTCTTCTACTCGTTTGATTAAAGGACAGAAGAATAGTGTATATCAGTTTTCCTTTTTGTCACATTCTCCTATCCTCATCTTTTTAAAACAAAATACAATTGAGTGATGGGTAGACCAATACCTAAAGAGAAAGGACCAATTAAAACAATGTCTAAGGTAGAGTTTCTAGGGAGGGAAATGCTCAGGTAACATGATGGGAATTCTAAAGAGATCTTGTAGATTCATAATCAGCTCAGTATTTGTGGATTTGTGTCTCCATCTCCCCAGGGCCAGTCCAACACCTTAATCCCTGATAAAAATCCTTATCCCTTATCCCTTAATCCCTGATAAAAATCCCTGATAAAAAGCTGGTGCTCTTTATTTTGCTAATGTAGAGGTGAATAAGATGAGCACTGGGCTGCTGATCTCTTCTATAGATAAATCTAGCATTACTAGCTGCTCAACATAAGTAATCAAACAGGAAAATGAATAGTTTATTTCATTTATGTATTTGTTAGCTTAACATCCTGCTTTGCCTTCAGGAGCTTTAATAGCATCCCCTTCTCCCGTTTTTCCCCACCTCAACAACCCTGTAAGGAAAATTGGACTGAGAAAAAAGAAAGTCACCCAGATACCTTCTGTGGCTGAAGGTGGACGAGAACCTGAGGTTCATCCACCTTCTCCACTAGACCATTCTGCTGTTATGGAAGAATGATACATTCCAGTAGAAGAATCTGAGGCTGTAACTTCCAGTAATTTAAACAAGCCAAACACTTGCAGGAGAATCTCAAATCTGGACTATGGCAAGATGGTGGGACATTAATCTTCCCCTCCCTGTTTCCCAAATGACCCATCTTTTAATTTTTTTTTTTTAATCCAAAACTGCTATTTCACCATTGAGGAACATATCTGTATACATTAAGTGTAGCAATATGTTTTAAAATCATAATCTCTATCAAATTCTTTTTGTGCTTACATTCATAGACACATAATCATTGCTAATCAATTTGTTTAGGAAAAGGTACACTTGAGAGAAAAGAACTGCTGAATCTGGGAAAAAAAATGTTTGTTATCAATTACTTTCAAAAAAAGTCAACACGCCTATATTTGACCTTAATAAACAGGTAGTCCTCACTTAATAACTGCCCTGTTTAGTGACTGTTTGAAGTTACAACAGCAGTGAAAAGTAGCTTTATGACCAGTCCTTGCACTTACCACCATTGCAACGTCTCTGCAGGCACATGATTGAGATTCAGGCACTTGGCAGCTGGCAGGTGTTTACCACCATTGCAGCATCCCCCAGTCACATGCTCACCATTTGCGTGCTTCACAGCTGGCTTACGACAAGCAGAGTCAATGAAGAAGCCAGCAGTGAAATTGCAAGTCACAGTCATCTGATGTCTTGCTTAACAACCACAGGTGATTCGCTTAACCATGGCAGAAGTGAGGTCATAAGCCCATCACAGTCATGTGATGTCTTGCTTAATGACCACATCACCTAGTGACAGAGTTGCTGGTCCTATTTGTGGTTGTTAAGCAAGGACTATCTGTATTACAAACCCTCTATCTGGGTAGATAGAAATAGACATAAACTGAAGGTTCTTCATCATATTAAACACTTGCCTGGTTCATATATGCTAACAGTCTGCCAGAGTTCTGTTTGTTTTTTATGGGTGGTAGGGTGGATGTACACTGTTCAATATGTCCCCATCACTCCTTTTGCCTTTCAGAATACATAAGTAAACCAGGAAATTTCTATCAGTAGTTTGTTTCATGTTAAGTTCTCAAGGATTTCTGATGTCACTTTCCTAGGAGCTTTAATCTGAAATCAGGGTTTGTTCTTGGTTTCTGATTCTTGGCTTCTTTAGAAACCAAAAGTCAGGAAACCTGGTTAAGATAAAAGTCTAAACAATTCATTGCTAGAATTCTGGAAGTTTTAGTCCCAGAATACCTGGAAAACATCAATGCTTTATAGGTGGGACTAGTCCATGTTCTGTTCTGTTGAAGTCTACAGATTCCTGCAATAATCTTGAAGAGGCTAAGGGTAGCAAGCTTCTTCACAGCGTGTTTCTATGCTTTGTAGGATCTCTGCAGATGGTGTAGACATTGTCCTGGATTGCCTTTGTGGTGAAAATACCGGTAAAGGTCTCAGTCTACTGAAACCACTTGGGACTTACATTTTATATGGTGAGTGAAATTCAACAGGTAAATAAATCCTGACCTTCTCAAGAATCACCATCCCACTGTAGCTATTCTAGTTGATTTCTAATTAGTGGGTAGCATGAAAGATTCAATTACTGTTTCAGATATCAACCGAGAAGTACCTTCAAAGGTTAAGGTGTCCTTTGAAGGACAAAGTGTCAAAGAAGGAGGCATATTTCACAGCATCAACACTGTGCATCACCTGCCATGCCCACAGAATCTCCTGCAGGGAGGAGAAATGAGAAGATGGCACAAATAGAAGAGAAGGGATATGAAAGATACATAGGAGCAATTTTTCTGTACTGGCCATCCAGGCTGTCTGTTTCTTGTGACCATATTTGAAGTCTCTCTTGACCCCTTTGTGCTGAGGTTTCCTCTTGCTCTTGGAGAAGTGTATATTTTAAACTGGAAGGAAACGTTAACTATTAAACTTGTTGATTTATAGAAGACATAGAACTCTGTGAAGCTAAGGCTTGGAATAAATGGTTCAGGTTGTATAAAGAGAGCCAGTTCAATGGAAAAGTTACCCTTGGAGGATATCCTGCCAAGGGTATCAAAAAATAGAGTTTCAAGCTTGTTTTTTGCATACTTTTTCCCTCGGATGTTTCTCTCCAAGGATTTCACTTCCCAGTCTCACAAGCAATCCTTTCTGCAGAGATATGATAGAACTTTTTCCATCCAAAAGGATCTGGAAGCCCAGATTCCCCACATTTTATGAAAAATATGTCATTGGCAGCAAAGGGGAATCTCCCACCACTCAACCATATCACTGAAAAATCCTTGTGGAAGAAACTTGACATGGCAGAAACCCCACACATGTATCATTCTTTCTCCCTTCTGAATAATTGCAGTGATGAATTATTTCCTCTATTCATTACTCCTGTCATTTCACAGATCCTGGAGACTGGTAGGCCAAGTGCTGTTGACCTCTAGATGTCAAACTGCCCAATAATATTTTAAATCTCTATCTCTGCATTAACAAAAAATTGGGCCCCACAGCCATGTTTAAATCATTAAAAAAGCAATAAATGCAAATCATTAAAACAATCCTAAAAAAAATATATCATTAAATATGGGATCCTATAGGGTTCTAGTGGTAATTAGGTTGGGGATGAAAGAGAAAAATCACTTTAATAGATACTGTTAAGCCCCATACAGCTGGGCAAGATCAAGGAAAGACAAACTACACAGATTTCAATCAGGTCTCTTTGATTCAAATCTGGATTAAATATAGAATCTTGGAAACTGCAAGATAAATTTTCCACCTTCATTTAAAGTGAATTAATTGGGGTGGAATCTCTTTGAATACTTAGAAATGCATCTTCCCAGGTTTCGCCTCACCTGGGCTGAGATGGCATTTATGGGATAAGCTACCAACGGATTCACCTTCTATTTCTTGACTGTTCGTGTACCTTCCCTTCCATTATTTTCCCAGCCACCCCACAGTCTCTCACATATATCAATATAATGTGTGTATAATACAGGTATCATGTCAACAACCTAATTGGTGAGGGGCACTCCTTTTTCATTTTTTCTTCTCTCTCTTGCTCTCAATTTTTTCCTCTCGTGAATAAATGCAACCCTTCCAGCTGCATTTTCACAAGGTTGTGCAAAGTTAATTTTTTAAGGCAATGCATATGTAGATTAGAATTCTTCTACCCCCTAATATATTATCTCCACAAGTTGAATTTCATATCAGGATCTCTTAAACAAGCAGTCCTGTGTGTTAAGATATTTCAAGGCTAGCACTGGAAGCAGATTTGGAATTCAAAATATATGTCCTCCAAGTTCTAGCTTGGAAAAACTTACTCCAATTGTTATTGAGACCAAAACATTACAGATTTGCATCTAGCTTATTCAACCTCATCATCACTATGAGCGGCTCTTCCTTTCTCATCAGATGCTTCTTTCTACGCATTCTCTGAAACTTATGAGGGATGGAGAAGATATCATAAGATCTATTAGACTGCATCATTTTCCTTTATGTTGCATCTAGAATACTGCAGCAGGACATCTCAGGCACAGGGAGTCTAGAGAAACAGAATTTCCAGGGCTCTTATGCCCATGAGATACCACCTTGCTGGTAACATGATCCACCAAAAAGAGGACAGAAAATAATACACACTATTTGCCAGAAGGAATGCTCAAACTATCACACAATTGCACTCATTTCACATGCTAGCAAGGTTATGCTCAAAATCCTACAAGCTAGGCTTC